TTGAAGCCTACCAAGATCCCTACTTCCCCTCAGGCCCCACCCTCTTCGAAATCAGCACCTGCTCTCAAGTTGACCCCGCCCCCTAGTTGGCCCAGCTGTCCTGGCTCCCAGGGCCCCTTCTCAGGCTTCCTCGGGCAGTAATAGGAAGGACCTCTTTAGTAGAAGACTCCTTATTGTCACCTGAGACTTTCAAAGGAGCTAAAGAAGTAGCCGCCTCTCTGGAGGGCAGTTTTGCTCTACCAGGGCAGCAAGAAAGCTGGGTCTCTTTGGGGCTGCCAGGGTACCTTGCTGGCACAGTCATAGCAGGTGGCAGAAGACAGGTGATGTTTACCCTACAAAGGCTAGAGTTGCCAAAAGGCTTCAATCAATCCTTTGAATCTGCACCTGGCTTTGAGCCCCAAATAACAACCAGGGCGGCCTACCTGACCTGCACGTCCCAGGTGCCTTGGCTTTTTCCTCCCACAGTTCTGCCTGCTGAGTCCCAGCTGGCAAGGGGTTCTTTCTCCCAGGGGTTACTGGGTGCTCTGGGTCTCTTCCCTCTGAGTCCATCACTACCATCAGTTAACCCCATCCCTATGTCTCCAGGCTTGCACCACACTCAGTCTCTGCTTCCTTCTGTCTGGCCAGTTTTCCCGCCAGCCCAGATCCTCTTCAGAAGACATGACAGCTCAGCATCTCCCATCAAACCTGGCTGGCTGGCTCTCGCCCACTGAGCCTGGCCCAGTCATGTTCCTTTCACCCATTTAAAGCTCTCACCGAGCTGGGTGTGGTAGTACAAGCCTATAACCCCAGCTCATGGGAGTGTGTTACAGGAGGACTGAGTTCAGAACCAGCTGGGCTCTACAGAGATGAGACCCTGTCAGAATAGGCAGAAGTGGCTGACTATAGACTGAGGGAAGAACACATGCGCAGCTTGCTTAATTTAAGGTCCTGGGCCCAATCCCCAGCTTCCAGGGTAGGAAGAAGCAAAGGAGCCTCCATGCTCCACGTCTTTTTCACAGGCGATAGCATCTACTATATGAGTCTACTGTATGTCAGGCAGAAGGCTATTTGGTCTATGCTACAAGTCAGTCTCTCAAAAATACTGGCCAAATGTCACCTAGTTCCAAATATTCTGCTAGATGCTGGTAATGAAGGGAAACTTCACACACAAAGGCTGTATACTGTGGGAGTTTAAGTTTCTCTGAATTGGACAGTAACATGTAAACATGGGTAGCCTCTGACGGAGTTCTAATCAGACCTGAGGCAGGCAGAGTGACTCCCAACAGAGGAAAAACACAGAGCCGTGGAAGAAGAGACACATTACCATTATCTTCATTTCACAGATGGGGGAATGGAGACCTCAGTATACAGAGCTACAGTGCTGAGAAAGCTATGGTCACTAAGCCCCCAGTGACTTTCCCCACTCTAACCCTCTGCACGAGGGGGGCGGGAAGGGGAAGAGTCTGTACTGGCAATTCAGCTGGCCTGGGGCCAGGTGGAAGGTGACAATGCAGACTGAGGGTGGAGGCCTTTGGGCCAAGAACTCTAATGGGTAGTGATGGTAAAAGTGGGACCATTTGGCAGAGGCCCAGGCCACCTGTAGGATGTAATCAGTGGTCTGACCTCTTCCACTTTGAGTCTACACCACCGATTTGGCACAAGCCATTCACTAAGTGTTTGGGGCCTACTCCTGATTCAGATGTATTTGCTTCCTCAGGGACTGACAATGTAGTACTACATCTAGTAGTAACAACCCTCATGTTCACTGAACAGACCCTAGCCAATCCCCTGCCGAAGCCTGGGCACTGTGCCAGGTACTCAGGATAAAATAAACCAGTTCAGGTCTGCAGAAAAAGCAACAACACAGTGGCACAAGGATAGGCTTTGGCACAAGGCATATTGTCAGACTGTGCTCTGCCTCTTAGAGGATGTGTTACTATGGAGGTCTCTGAGTCCTGGATGTACCCGCTTCACATCGGAGCACTTGTGGAGACCAAATAAGATGATATGTCAAGGGCATAAACACAGCAAGCAAGCACTCCACACACAACACCTGTTCTTATCCCTAACAACACTCGTGCATTCGCTCTCATTTATGTCTTGCTTACTCTGGTAAGGTTGGCATTATCCTCTCAGGTTTATGGATTTGAGAACTGGGTCGCTTCACATTGAAGACAAAGTCAAGCTTTGTCTACAGGTTTATTAAAAGATTAATAAAAAAAATAGTGTTTTAGTGTGGCTCTGAAATAGCTTATATGTTAACTGAGCACAGTGGCATATGAATGTAATCCCAATACTTCCCAGACAGAAGGAGGACTGCAGTAAGTTCCAAGTTAGCTTGGACTACATAGTGAAACTCTGTGTCAAACCAAAAAGGCCCCTCCCCCAATCTCCTGTGTTAAAAGACTTGGTCCTTAACACAATAGTGTTCAGAAGTAGGATCTTCTGGAAGGTGGGTGGATCATGAGGGCAGGGGCAATCAAGGGTTCACTGACTGACTGGGATCAAACCATTTTATTCAGAGACTTGAAGAGGGAGATGGGCTAAAGAGGTTTGCTCAACCTGACAATGGCAGGGCAGCTCTCCCAGACTCTTTTCATCACTAAAGAGCAGATTCAACATTTTTGTTTGTCTTGTTTTATTTTGAAGACAGGGTTTCTCTCTGTAGCCTTGGTTGTCCTGGATAGCTTTGTAGACCACACTGACTCAGACTCACAGAGATCCTCCTGCCTCTGCCTCCTGAGTGCTGAGATTAAAGGCATGCACCATCACTGCCTGGCCTGGCTCAGATTCATAACTGAAAGGACTACTGGGCAATAAAAAAAATGCTGGAGAGAAGTAAATCACGAGAGGGGGGCGGCGTACAGTGATGGGTGCATTCTTTTCCTAGTGTCCTCTCTCTTGCTTCCTTGCTGCCATGAGGTAAATAACCTCTGCTTCACCATTTGTGGGCCATAAAGTTTGCCTCCCTACTCATAAATCATGAGATAATGGAGTCAAGGGTCATGAATCAAAATCTCTGAAACAGTAAGCTAAAATAATCTTTCCATCCTTTAAACTATGTCTAGACTAGAGTATTCTGTCCCAGCGACAGAAAGCTAACACACTAACTACAATGAGCCCTGCCTGGCTTGTCTAGGAGCTGAGGAGACAAACAGATGATCACATACACCGATTCAAATGGCAAGGACACTAGCCAGTTCCAAGGTGTGAAGCACTGAGACAGACCACCAACAGAAGTCATGTAATCTTACCACCATAGTCATGGTGTTCCCATCTAAGGCATTCATTAACATTTAGTGATTAAACTAAATGAATCCAGCTTTAGAAGAGGCAGGTAGCACTAGCGACACTAGGGTAAAGGTCAGACACAAGAGCAGGGCATGGTGGGGCATGCCTATAATCTCAGGAAGAGTGGGAAAGAGGATCAGGAGGTTCAAGGTCCTCAGCAACATATAATGAATTTGAGGCCAGCCTGGAGACCCTCTCAAAAAACCACCTCCTTTCCAAACAAAATAAACTCCAGGTCAAATGGGAATCTAAGTCTGACAGGCATTTCATTCTTTAATTTCCTCCCTAGGAATAAGACTGAAAGCACCTATCTTACCTGGAAATGTGAACAAAAAGGTTTGGGACATTAGAAAACACTATCATGTACACAAAAGGAACTGTCTCTAAGCTGCAGACCGCCACAGCAGTGCAGTTTTGGAAGCTGAACACACTGAGTTGGAATCCCAGCTCTTCCTGGCGCTGGCCTGTGAGGCCTTAGCAATATCATTTTTTGTTCAGTCTTGGTTTTCTTGGCCATAAAATGAAGGTTCTACTTACTTTATAGGCTGTTTTAAGGATAAAAAGCAAACAGCCTAAGCTTTAGTAAGCCTGACCCGGTGTCAATCTGATTCTGCCCTGTACACCCCTTCAAAGCGCAGGTAGAGCATCCCTCCCAGGCCTTGCCCAGCAGTAACTGCTCCCTCAAACAAGCTGCTTCACTCCTGCGCCTCAGTTGTGAAAAGGGGCTAATAATAGTGCCTACTTCATCGAGTGTTGCCGTAAGAATGGAATCAATTAGTACTTGTAGCACACACTGAACAATGCCTGGCATAGAGTAAGCATTCAATAAATGTTAGGTGCTATTAATAGCAATGTTAACAATAATATTAATCACCAAGCGGAATTAGAGGGAGGGGCTTAGTGCTGGGACATGGGCATCCCATGGAATAATCCCACAGAAGTGCAGGGACATCTGTCTGTAGACAAGCTGTCAGCCTGTGGGAGAGTCTTCTGTGAAAAGGGCATGTGCCTGGGCTCCTAAGTCCCAGTCCCACTGACCAGGGGCCAGCCTCTGGGAAGGCACGTCAGGTTCCTCAGAAGGGACACTGTGTTCCCAGTGGTTGTGTTCCAGGCGCTGCCTGACTCTGACTAGGGGAACAAAGGCACATGTGTGTGGCCAGGGTGGAGGGAGGGGAATGTTTCCCTTGCAAGAGTTGGAACAAAGGATCTGAGGCATAGTTGAGTGCATTCCAATCTCCTCCCAAGCCAGTTCCCATTCCTCAGATGACTGTCCAACAAGGTTCGCAACCTTCCAGCTTCCTCCTGAAAGGTGACTTGGGAAGGGGTGGCAAGCCCTGTCACTCAACACTGACATCAATCTCCAAGAGACAGGATTTTAAGTGCAGAACTGTTGATACCTGTCTTAGAAATCTCTGTCCTATTCTGAGTGGGTAGAACCCCCTGGGAGAAGTCAGTTCATGAATGACACAGGGTATTCCAAGTGACAGCTTTAATGCCCCTCTAAGGAATGTTAGAAGTGACGAAGTTAAGGAGACAAGCCAGGAGTTCCTTCAGACTGACCCACAGCCTAGCATCAGTGACAGAATACCAGAAAGGCACACCCCCAGTCCTAAGGGAAGAGGGCAGGCTGGAGGGAGAGACCTGGAGAAGGGGGGGAGGGAATGAGAGCAGAGAAAGTGACTGAAAGAGGAAAGGGAGGGGCAAACAAAAAGTAGGGGGGGGCACACCTCTTGGGACATTACTTTCCAGTTTCCACACTCTGCGGCAGGAATCCAGCTGCTGGGCCGGGACAGGAAGCAGTCTATGGAAGTCATTGCAATGGCATTTCCTGAAGAGCACGAGAAAAAGCTCCAGTTCCGAGGGGAGCTCTGCTTTCTATCCAGAGAACTCCGAAGCTTAAAGCCAGAGTAGGCCTGGCCTGAGACTCACTGGGGATAAAAGTAAGCAGCACAAGGTCCCAAAGGTGGCTTCTCTCTATGAAAACAGAGACTGAAGGAGCCCAAGCATCATGGCAGTACCATCTGGATGACTGTGGCCATTCTGAGCACTTTAGGCCAACAACTGCCTTTCTTAACCTTCCAACAAGTCCAGGGCACATAGCAGGTGACTAGTGAAGCCACTACATCTCTGGGCCTGCCTGCTCCTGTGACAAGGAGACGGCACTATCCCGATCACCAATCTGCATGGCTAAAGGTATCACAAAGACAAGGTAGATATGCCAAGTACTTTGTAAATTGGAATGTGTGCATGGAGTCCTACCTATCTTGTGGGGAAGTGACAAGTTACTGTGATGATAGTGTGTGCTGGACAGGAAAGAGTCAGCCTAAAGTAACATTTTGGAATAGCATTCTTGGTAAAATCTATGATAGGGTTGCAGGCCTGTGAAAATCAGAATGTCAATTTCAAAATCCCATTCTGAGGGGCTAAAGTCTGGGGCTAAAATGATTTGGTGACACATTGAATATGTACAGTTAAGAGAATATGTCTGGATCTGTACCCTAAGACCATGGAGATGTTGCATCACCAGGGCACATATACACTAGAGCTCATACTGTGACAGAAGGCTGCCATGAGAATGCGCTAATGGGTGACTATAAAGAAAAGGGAGAATGGGTACTTTGAGAATGAGCCAAGAGTTCCATGGTACACATAATAAAAAATATTACATCAACATGGAGTTAGGCCCTCCATATTACCGGCATACCCCAATGTTTTATCATTGTGCTCAAGATTCAGGAAGGTCAAAAGAGATAGGGTGAGTTAGGATTTTAACTCAGACAAGCTGCAGTTTTTCAGACAGAAACAGAGAAGAATAAAGGAGGGCCATCTGTAAAGTGTATTTGAAGAGAAGTATTTCTGAAAAGAGAGAGTTTGGTCATTTATTTGAGCATGGGTTTAATTACTCTAAAGTCCAGGCTGGCCTTAAATTCAAGATGTAGTCTGGACTATTCTCAGATCCAAAGCAATCTTTTTGCTCAACCTCCCAAATGCTCAGATTATAGCCATGCACCACAATGTCCAGCCTAACAATTTTTTCAGTCCTCATTTTATCTAGATTCTCCAAACAGTAAAAACAACATGGCTTCCAATGTGGCTAGCTGCACCAGCCAATACACCGTGCGCAAAGCTGGTCTCCTCTTGAGTCTCCTCTCATGATCTCTACAGCCATTTAAAGCTAAGAAGTCTTTCCACCCGCCAGTGGCACCAGCTTCTTCTCAAAGTGAACACCTGCTTCTACCCTTACAGAACTCTGATCATCACTTCCCTGCTCTAAACCTACTCTTGACGTCTCTTATTCCAGACCAAAGCCTCAAACTGCCTTGTAATGTTCTATGTGCTCAGCAGCCAGCCCCCACCTCCCCTCAGTTTTCATCTCCTTGATAGAGGGCAAAAACAAAATAAAACAAAAAAATCTCTCTGTTCCCTGCTGCTTAAGCCAATCTGACCTCTGCCATTCCTGAAAATGCCGAGCATCTCTCCTCCTCAGTACACTCTTCTGCTTGAAAAGCTCACTATATGAGCCAGCTAGGCGGTGGTGCCTCATGCCTTTAATCCCAACACTCAGGAGATAGAGGCAGGCGGATCTCTGTGAGTTCGATGCCAGTCTGGTCTACAAGAGCTAGTTCCAGGACAGGCTCCAAAGCTACAGAGAAACCCTGTCTCAAAACAAACAAACACCCTTGCTATATGGACCCACATAGTGAGCCATCTCCTATCCTTCAGATCTTCTCAAATACCACCTCCAGGTAACATCCTTTGTTGGAGATCTAGAAACAGTATTCCAAGAACATGCCTGTGGGAGACCAGAACGTGTGTGTGTGTGTGTGTGTGTGTGTGTGTGTGTGTGTGTATTTGGCATACTTGAAGCTGCTTAGTCAAAGAAATCCACACTCAGAGACACACAGGAGTAACCTTGAAATGCTGTTTTCTATAAAAGAAGCATCTATAAAGAAACTTATAAAAGTATTTGTAGGCCGGGCGGTGATGGCGCGTGCTTTTTTAAAAAAAAAAAAAAAAAAAGTGCTTTTAATCCCAGCACTGGGAGGCAGAGGCAGGCAGATCTTTGTGAGTTCAAGGCCAGCCTGGTCTACAAGAGCTAGTTCCAGGACTGGCTCTAAAGCTACAGAGAAACCCTGTCTCAAAAAAAATTAAAAAAAAAGTATTTGTATCAGTTGTTGGTCTGTTCTACAGATCCTATTACCTGAGATGCTTTATCTGAACAGCAAAATATTTACTCTTGATAATTTGCAGTCAAGCCTCTTAAAATGTGGATGGTCACCATAATAATCCCAAAGCCCTATTCCTCCCTTCCATTTATTTATTTATTGACTTATTGGTTTGAGACAGGGTCTCACCATGTCACCCTATTGGCCTCAAACTCGAAGATCTGCCCATCTCTGCCTCCTGGGTGCTGGGATTAAAGGCGTGTGCAACCACACTCGGCCTCCTGTTCCTTTCTGTAGTTCAGGACGCTAAACCTCAATCATGCATCTAACCATTACTTGACATTGGTTCCTGTGCACACATGGGTTATCAAAATATTTGTTTTTTTTCTCCTCTTAATTTGTCTTATGTCAAGATAATTCATATTCTAGCCAAAGAAACGACAGATGAGGGCTGAGCTTTTTTCATTTTCCTACATCTTGGCTGTTCATTTTTTTGATCACTTTTTATTTTATTTCTTTAATATTTATTTATTTATCTATTTATTATGTATACAATATTCTGTCTGTGTGTATGTCTGCAGACCAGAAGAGGGCACCAGACCTCATTACAGATGGTTGTGAGCCACCATGTGGTTGCCGGGAATTGAACTCAGGACCTCTGGAAGAGCAGACAATGCTCTTAACCACTGAGCCATCTCTCCAGCCCTTTTGATCACTCTTTAAATTTAATTTATTTACTCATTTATTTACTGGGGGAGAAGTACACCATAGACATATACAGAGGTCAGAATACAACCTGCAGAAGATAGTTCTTCCCTTCCACCAAGTGGGAATCAGGGATCTAACTCAGGACATCAGGCTTGACAGCATGTACCTTTATAAGCTAAACCACCTTGCCAGGCCCTTTGATCAACCTTTTTAAAGTGCCATCCCATCCTGCCTTGCTAGGCATTCTCTATAAACCAATCTTATTTTCTTCAAAGTACCTACTATCAGCTGATGCATAACACACACACAAATACTGGAAACTAAACTTGGGTCTTCTGTTTTAAGAGTTCTTAAAACACTGAGCCATTTCTCCAGTCCCCAGACCATATAATATCATGGAACTGCTGTGGTATACACCGTCCATCATTGACAAAAATGTCGCTATACAATTATGTGTATGTATGTGTGTATTCACTTTAGCTTGCATACATATGCACATACATATGGAGGTCAGAGGCTAACCCTGGATATTGTTCCTCAGGAGCTATCTACCTCATTGGCCTGGAACTCATTCGTCAGACAAGGGTGGCAGGCCAGCAGGCTCCAGAAATCCCCTTGTCTCTGCCTTACAGCTTTGGGATTGAGTGCACACCACTGTGCTTGGCATTTTCTTTTTCTTTTCTTTCTTTCTTTTTTTCTTTTTAAAAAAAAATGGATTTTGGTGATCAAACTCTGATTCTTTTTGTTGTTGTTTTCCAAGATAGAGTTTTTCTGTAAACAGCTCTGGCCAGGCTGGCCTTGAACTCACAAAGATCCCCCTGCCTCTGCCTCCCAAGCCCCGGGATTAAAGGTATGTGCCAAATTCAGATTCTTATGCTAGCATAGCAAAGCATTTTAAGACTGAGCCCAGTCTTAAAATCTAGAAATGTAGATTTGTCTGTCTAACAGAATGAGCCTCAATAGAGGCAAAAACTTAGTTTTGTTTTTTTCTCAGTACCTAGCAGAGTGTGGGGGGGGGCTCAATAATGGTAGAAGAGGTTCCCCCCATTATTACTCTGACTTGATTAGGTCCTTTCTTCAGATACTCAATATCTCTTTCAGAGGTGACTACTGCGCTCAAGATTAGTGCTCTGGGCTGAGATGACCAATGTAAGCAAGATTTGGACTCTGAGAGTACAGCTGTTATAAATGCCTGCACCAATTTAAACTACCAGTTCCTTCTTTTCCCTTATGCAAAGGGCTGGGGATCATATATAAATGGTGAGTATCAAGCTGGTGGCAATTCATCTGGGCCTTTTCTTCCCTAGGTGAAACAAAGGCTCAGGGGACTGTCTATCACTAGATGCCCAATGGGAGTGGGGAAGACAGACTGTGGACTGCAGGGACAATAGAGGTTCCAGAGCTTCCTTCAAGAAAAGAGGATCCTGCAGATTTAGGCTGGAGGCTGGGAAGGGGGGCAAAGATCTTGATAGACGAAGGTTGTTGAAGATGGTCTTTCTGTTGAAGAGCATTTCGCTGGAGATTACCCTTAAATCTAAGCACACTAAATCTAGACACAGCAACAAGTGCAAAGCAAGCCTGGTGATGGCAGGCTAATGGCTGGGGAAAAACTAAGAGGTTGGGTACAGGAGAAAGATACCCAAGTCCACTGGCCTTAGGACAAAAGTCTGTTGGGAGAAGGGGTCGGCTCACAACACGGCTCCACACAGCCCAAACAAAATTGGTGGTTACCCACAAGAAAGTCAAGAAACTCCTCCAGGTTCCACTGGGGCCCCCTGAAAACTACCTGGGTAATTTTCAGGCAGAAAATGAAGAGTTCCATGTGGCTGCTGGGGATATTGCTTTAGGGAGTCTGGAAAATCCTGTGATGGCAAAAGAGTTTTAACAATCACCTAAAAAAGGACACCAAGAAGAAGTGGGTGTTCCAAGGGGGAGCCCCTGAGACACTTCTACTTCATTTGAAGACCTGAATGAGATTACTAAAAATTTCTGTGTTGGGATTTCTGATGGGACTTCCCCCAAGAAAACCACAGAACTGCCAAATTTGCAAATGGAGCTGAGGTGCTTCAATTAAGCAAATATCTGTATCTGTGTTGCGATGAAGAAGTCAGAATAGGTAAGAAGAGATCTGCAGCTTGGGAATGGTCAAACTAGGTTTTCTCCTGGCTATGGCTCATTCCGTGCTCCTAACAATGATGTTTTCATTGAGCAAAAGGAAATCTCCAGAACTGCCTATACCAAAGTGACATGGCCCATCTGGGGCCTTATCCCACACTCAAAGTGAAACCCCACCCCCAAACAGTTTCATCTACTGGGGGCTAGGTCCCAGTGAACTGGCTTAGTTTCTTAAGAAGTAACTCCAGGGGGCAAAGTTCAGAACCTTAAGGGAGAAGCTTACTCTGGAGAAGTGCGTCCACCCTTTGTCCACCCTACAATTAAGGTTAGGGAAGGGCTTTTATTCAGGCAGCTGGGTATCATTACTCCATTTTACAGGTGGAAAAGACAGAAGACACAGACAACAGGTTCAGCATTTTGCTAAGTGAGTCAGGCAGCAGTATGGCCAGAGGCTTGAGTTCCAATCCTTAGGGCATCACCCCACAATTAACAGAGACTCTGGGGCAGGCCATCTCCCTGCACACACAATCTGAGGTTCCCACATATTAGGGAACCTGCTACTGATGATAAAGGCACTGTTCTCAGATGCCTGAACAACGCCACAACTGCAGCATGGAAAGAGCACCTTCTACAGGCATGTTTTCCTCAGCCCTGGTTTTCTATGCTAGTCTGTCTGGATTATTACTTCCTGAACAAGGTATGGATGGAAAGGGTTTAGACTCTGAAATGAGGCCAATTTCAATTTAAATTTTTCACTCAGACACTTAGTTGGCTGAGAGACATTTAACCTTGGAAAGTTACTGTGTGGAACATATGAATGACCATGTATTTCCAAGATAGAGAGATAGTATCTAGTATCTAGCTTAAGCTAACGCCTAGCACACTGCTTGACCTATAGTAGCTGCTCGGGAAATTGGCTACATTAAATAAAGGATAAAACAATGCTGGAAACACGAGAGGTACTCCAAGTACTCAGGAAAGGCTGAGTTTTCTGCTAAATTCAGAGCATACCCTTGGTGAACCGCTTGAACTCTATGACCTCCAAGCTGCAGCCCCAGGAAAATCTGGGGGTACCACTGCAGCAGCATCTGTGCAGCTCAGAGGGCATACCCAAGAGGAAATGGGCAGGTATCTTCCACCAAGGCTCAAGTGACGCTGAGTGGAATGTTCTTTACCCCCTGGTCTCAGGAGAAGAATGCATGCCCAGAAATGGCTCTGCCATAACCGGCTCTTCTACACACATTCTCTCTTTGCTCATCAAGCAGAAGTGGCAAGTTACCAGGTATGCTGCCCAACAGGCTCTGGAGACTCTTGAGTGAAGAGACGGGGGTGGGTGGGATTTTAATCAATGAGAGCTAATGAACCTGCCCCAAGCTGCTGCCTTAGATGGGTTTAGCATTTTTCCAGGTGACTGGAACATTACATGCAATATGGGGCAGCTGGCAATTCTCAGGTTCCAGTAGCCTCTGCAGAGGTTGGCTGCCCTAGCAGGTACCTCTTCCATCTGCCTACCGTTTACAGCTGGCAAGAGCCTACCTGGTATTAGGACCACTAAAGACAGTTAGCAAGTGATAGAGTCAAGAGCCCAGGTTTACTTGGAGGTGCTTCAGAGGGTGTGTCTGAAGGGTTGGAATCCTGCCCCTCCTGTAATCAGCTGAACAAATATTTGCCCCCAAAGAGAATCAAAGCAAGAGAGAATGAATAGAAGAGGTCACTGCACAAACCAACAGGAACTATTTAATCATTTATCTCCCCAGGGAGTTCATTTACAGACTGGCTTTCGAGTCTGGCAATCCTTAGCTCAAGGGAGCCCACCTTTACCTCAGTCAACTCTACCCTGCTCATCTGACCTCTACTGACGACAAGTGACCTCTTTGCCTTTACAAGAGCTACTGGAGGGGAAGAGTGGGGGTGAAGTTTCAAAGAAATGGGAAACTAGAGACAGGATGGGGTTTCAGGGCAAACCCAGAAGGTCTCTTGCTCAGTGGTAAAAGCGAAGTGCTTGCCCCGCCCTAGGCCCAGCCTATGGGCAACTGAATTCTTGACATTCCCGAGTCCATGGTGCGTGGCCCCTTCCACCTCACTTCCTTCAATGGATGGCTTGCTTATTTTCCACAGCTTGTCCATTTTTGACATATTCTGAGGGATCAGAATACTTCTCATAAGCCCCGAGCTCCCCTATTCGGGAATGGAGTCACGATGAAGGTGAAGACTGCCTACTACAGTGGCTACTGGTAAGGAAGCTCTCACCTCCACACCACCTCATTAGGTGGGAGCAGAAGGATTCTTTGGAGTAGGCACTCACTGGCGTGAGCCTCTGCTCACATTATCTCTAAGAGTCACAAAACTCTGTTAAGCAAGGAGAGCTTGCCACATTTTTTGTGTGTTAGAAACTAAGGCTCCAGAAGGTAAACCAACCAGTCCAAGGTCACATGGCTAGTTAAGTGACAGGGCCAGGACGCACACCCACATCCAGTCTGTCACCAAATCTTAATTTCCTATGGAGCCTCACAGACCCGGTTTGTGCTCTGCCAGCAAACAGCGTTCCAGTAAAGAGGCCCGACGGCCCTGACCAGAAAAGCAATAGAAAGAGCAGCTGGAGATCCCCAACCGACCCTGGGCAGTGAGGTGCAAAGTCCTGGGGCTCACTATATGACACAGCAAGAGCGCCCAAACAAGCCAGCCACGCAGAAAGCTGCGTACTTTGGGGAAATGAACTTAGGGGCACAGAACAAACACAGCTGGCACAGACCACCCTTCTCCAAAATCAAATAATCCTCAGTCACCCAAGTCAGTGGGGGCTCCTGCCTGGGCAAGTGGTCTAAGTACCATGCACGCAGGTATACAGGGACCTGAGGGTACCAGCTCTTCCGGTTCCCCAGGTATTGTGTTCCTCACTCCCAGCCAAGGTGACCCATTCTGCGAGAGCCAGCAGAAGGCAGGGAGAACTTGCCACTCTCACAGGTTTTCAGCTAAGTAAACACAGGCTATGTTTTTCTTTGCTGAGAAACTGGAACAAACTATGAAACTCTGGGGCCACAAGCATAGCCAGAAGGAAAGATGCAGATCTCTCGAAGTTAACCTCTTGTGTTGAAACAGAGCCAGGCAGCTTTCCTGAACAATCAACATCCTCAACAACCATGCCATGCAACAGAAAAGGGACCAACAAGAACATTTGGGGCTCTCCAAAGAAGAGACAGACAAGGGGCGTGGTTCTTACCCAGCCGCCGTTGTCCTGGATCCAAGGCTCTAGGTGGTCATTCAGATAGGTGGCCATCCAACTTGCGATCCGACTCACCAATACCTGCATCTCCTTGTCTACGCTTTCCACACACAGGGCTCCACCGAAGGAGAAAAAGGCCACGATGCGACCCCAGTTTACCCCATCCCGGAAGAGTTCATTCACTACCTGCTCAAAGCTTTGATATGCTGTCCCTGGGGTTATATGAAGCTGCGATGTTAGATCACTGAACGCCCGCCGGTACCGCAGTTCAAACTCATCGCCAGCCTCTCTTAGCGCTTGCTTCACTGCTGCCATGGGGATCACCTCCCGGGCGTCCAAACTGCTGCTGTGGCCAGTGGCTCCATTTACCGCGGGGCTATCCGCCAGGTGCCAGGATGGGTTGCCATTGATGGCACTGGGGGTCTCCCTCTCTGATTCAGGTCCTTCTGGGGCCTCAGTCCTGTTCTCTTCGACATCACTAAACTGACTCCAGCTGTATCCCTTCTGGGAAAGCTTGTAGGAGAGAAAGTCAACCACCAGCTCCCGGTTGCTCTGAGACATTTTTATAATAGAGATGGGCTCAACCAGTCCATTGTCCAAAACACCTGCTCACTCACTGGGTCTGCTCTGTGTTTAGCGACTCTCTTCCAGGATCCAAAGCCAGGATAAGGTTCTGAAGAGAGAGAAAGAGCTTCAGGAGAAAAATTTAATATGCATGTCATTTACCTTACAATATCCCATTCCTCCTCCAGGTACCAGAATTGGTTTCTTTGTGGCTCTTATGAAGGTCTGAGTCCAGGTTCTAAGGGACTTCAATGAAGTCAAATTGAAAGGACCAGCAAGCTTTGAATTGTCTCATCAGCCTCTTTTTACTACAACCACCCACCCCTTTTTCTCCGAAATGCCTTCCTCAAAAAGTCACCCCCATTGGCAGCCTCCCCCCCCCCACCACCTACATTCAAATCTATCTCCGGCGACAGCAAGCAGGTGCAGCCCCCGGAAGATCTTTTGTATCATAGGTCGGGAGGAGGTGGTGGCTGGGTTGCCGGTAACTCTGCCTGCCTCGCGGCGGCTGGCAAAAAAAAAAAAAAAACCAGCCCCGGCCGGAGGGATCATGCGACCTGGTAGGCAGCCCAGAAGGCGACACAGGAATTGTGAAGCTTAGGAACCTGCCCCCTGGCTTGCTTCCTCCATCGCCCAGACCGAGGGCGGCCTCTCTCTCTCCCTCTCTCTGCTCCGCAGCCTCCAGCCACCCGAGAGCCCAACCCCCTCGCTCTAGCACGCCCCTTGGCTCTCCGCCTCCTACTGGGAGCCAGGAGAACTCTCCCGGAGGTGTGGGTTTAGTGTAATCCCCCCCCTTCTTTCTTTCTCTCTTTCTCTCTCTCTCTCTTTCTATTTAAGTGCCCTTTTAAGGTACTTAAGCACGGAAGGGGGAAACGGCGTCTGATCTGCGACCTGATTTCGGAAAGCCCACCCCCGGGCCTTTCCGAGCGACTGTATTCTGGAGACCCCCCACAAACACCGCTGGTTGTCTTTGAATTCCCCAAAGGCCCTGGACATGGCGTTGGGGGACTGCCAGGTCCTCCATTCCGCGCCCGGACACAATGGCCGCCGGCACCCCGTACAAAGACGGGGTGAGAGGGAGGCGCTGCTCCCCGCCACCGGCCAGGAAGAAGAGTCGAGGCCCCCAAAGCGGAGACCTCGTTTTCCTGGGGCCCGGCCCAAGGCGGCCTCTTGGAGCCCCCTGCAGGGCGCGAGGGAGGGAGGCTGCTAACGCGTAGGAGCCCCGGGTGGGTGGGCTGAGGCCTCGCTTACAGCTCGCGCTCCCCTAGGCCGGGTACACGCCGAGCCACCGCCCCGTTGCTAGGCAACTGCCCTCCCTCAGGGGCGCCCCCTAGACCTCTCTGGAAGGAGGGGTCTCGCCCCCGCGGCCCGCCCCAGCGTAGCCAATCTGCGAGTCGGATCGGCACGGAAGCGGGACGGCAAAGGCTCCCATTGGGCGCAGCGCCTGTCAAGCACAGGAGGCGGCGCTCTCACCTGCGAGCCCAAAGAGCCGTGGGGGGCCACATCCCCCCTTCATCGGCCCGGTGGCTTCCCGACGCGAGGGCGCTTCGCGGCCGAGTTGTACGCCGCGGACTTGGGCCGGCCTACCTGGCTGACTGTTCGCACCGTGTCTCCCGGAGAAGCCGGCCTCAGTTTCCCCTGAAGAGACCGGGGGAACTTGCAAGCGCAGTCACTTCCGGTGCCGCGGCAGCGCGCGCGAGCCCGAGACGCAAGAGGAGTGCGCGCCAGGAGGGACTGGCGTCGAGACGTGGGGAAGAGCGCCCTCTGGCGAGATATTGGAGGAGTCGCAGATGTATAGAACGTTTATCGGTTCTTATTTAATCTAGTTCCTTTATCCGTCCGTTTGTACTCAGAAAAAGCATTTTTTTCTAGGTGTCCAACAATGGGCAGGTTTCTCAACTTTTGTATATTTTCTTAAACTGTAAAATAGGTAACGATATTGGCCTCTCATTGAGTGTGTATCAGTTACCACGTGAAAAGCCTGGAGAATAGAAAACAGTTCATTTGGATTGTTGGAGAGATAGTTATGAACAAGGCAAGACAGGGTCTTTGTTTTCATCATACAAAGGGCGGAGACAGTGACCAACAAGGTAATCGCTAATACCTTGAAAACAAACAAACAAACAAACCAATCTTGGCATCTTGATAATGATGGGAAAGCGTCAGTTACTTAAGAGTGAGTAACTCTTAAGTCCAAAAATGTGAAGCTCGGCTCTGGCTGGCTAGTGCAGTAGGAAGGTTTCAGTCTAAACTGGCTTCAAGCTATATAGCCCAGGACAACCCTACTTTCTAAGCCGCTGTTTCACTATTATACTCAGTTTATGTGTTTCTGAGGATTGAACCCAGAACTCTGTGCATACCAGGCAGGCATTCTACCAAATGGTCTATAGCACACCCCCGCCCCCCAGCTCAGGTTTTTCAAAAATGTGTTATTTTATTTGGGGCATGTGTGTAAGTGTGGGTGTATATGTGGAGGTCAGAAGACAACTTTTGGGAGTTTATTCTGTCCAAAAGTGGAACTCAGCTCTTTCTTTTTATACTGGGTCTAGTTCTGTGGTTCTGTAACTCAGGCTGCCCCTGACCTTGAACTCACTGTAGTCTAGGTCGGCCTTGAACTCACAGCAGGCTTCCAGCTTTTGTGTTCTGAGAGCTACTGGAATCTCAGCCTCCTGATTTGCAGGTGACCACGGTGAACTACCCAGTCCCTAATATAATACAAGAGCTCTCTTTCCTGATTCTTGGGCTGTTGAAGGACGTGGCATCAGGAAGAGGAGGGCCGCTCCCACATCCCCTGATGCTGGAGATGGTGACTTTTCATCTTTCACTGAGGATGCGGCAGAACACACTGGTGGCAACAGAGGTCATTCCGCCCTTTCGGGAAGCTCCTTGACTGCGTGTGTGAGAGAGCTGAGCCCACGTGGAACAGATACACCAGACTTGTTTCAAACTCATTATCTTTGTTCAGTCTCGTACAAGTCAGCCAAAGGAAGCTGGGACTAAAAGAAATTAATAAATTACCCAGAATAAGAAAAAGTAGTGGCGGGAGCAGAAAGACTCTGAAACAAAAGTGGTGGGTGCTCGAGCAGAGTGGGCGACACAGGCTGGTCTGAAACCAAAGTCAGGGCTCAACCAACATGATAAACTCCCTAGGGGACCATCACTGGATGAAAAGGTGTGTGTGGTCTCCACCTGTGTCAGCCTCACGCTCCCCAGCTGGCAGAGACTACCGTCCTAACAGCAAAGGCCTGGAGGTTAAATGAGGAACGAAAGAGAGAGAGAGAGAGAGAAAGAGAGAGAGAGAGAGAGAGAGAAAGAAGAGGGAAGAGAGAGAGGGCTCATCCTGGAAGCTTGCTTGCCACCAAGCCTGATAACCTGACTTCCTTCCACCTTGGAACCCACAGAGTGAGAAGGATTGTCCCCCTACCCTACAATTCCTGGTAGTGCGCACACATAACGTGATCTAACAGTATTGTTCAATCATAGGACCAGATCTGCCTTCCCCTTCCCCTCCCGCTGCCCTTTCTTAAGGCTGTTAGCAGGACTCTGTAAAGAAACGCACTGTTTCCTTTCTGCTTTGAGCCATGGCCAGGTCCCTTACCTCCTGGAGAAACCTTTAAAAAGTAGGCGATCTCTGGCTCCCGCTCTCTGCTTCCCTGGCTGGCCCGCTCTTGATTTCCCTCATCCTCCCTTTCCCTCCCTCCTCCTCCAGAGCAGCTCTTCACCCATTCACCTTAAGCTGATTTTCTCAGTAGTTGTCTGAAGGTCTCGCGGCCCACAGCCCCCTTGTGCTCCCTCTCGTGTGGCATGCTATCCTAAATGCCTTCCCATGATCTGGTGCTTGTGTGCCCTCTCTGACGTGTATTGTCTAAAGGGTAATTTGGCGTCAGCTCCTTTCCCAGACCAAACCACTAATAATCTTCTCTTCTTAACAAAGAAATACGTGTATCTTTTTTTTATTAATTTTTTTTGTTTGTTTTATCAAGACAGGGCTTTTCTGTGTAGTCCTGGCTGTCCTGGAACTCACTCCATAGACCAAGCTGGCCTTGAACTCAAGAGAATTGCTTGCCTCTGCCCCTGCTGGGATCAAAGGCCTGTGCCACCACGGCCCAGCAAGGTAAGTGAATTTTTAAAAAAGACTTCTACAGATGTGTAGCATATTATAACTAGTGATGCTCCATTGACCTATTTTATTTGGTCATTGGGTATTATGTGGGGCTAGAGAGATGGCCCAGTGGTTTAGGGCACTTATTTTGCTCTTTTCTGAGGACCCAGGCTCAGTTCCCAGCATTCACTTGGTGGCTTGCAATCATCTGTAACACCATTGCGAAGGGAGCTGAAGTCCTCGTCCGACTTCTGCACAGGCATGCACATGGTACACCACAGGCACACAGACCAAACACTAGTGCAGAAAAAATAAATCTAAAGAGGAAAGAAAATGTTAGCGATCTGTTTCTGGAGATGAGAAAGCAACATTTAGGGAGTAGGTTTCCTCCTCACACGGCACCTTGTTTCTTTGTTTTCAAGGCAAGGTCTCCCTTCTGTTGTTCTGATCTCTGCTCCCCTCTTTGCTGTAGGAGCGCTCTGACTGGGAGTACACATGTAAGCTGCCACATCTGCCTCTTATGTGGGTTCTGGGAAGCAAACTTACAGGGTCAGGGTTGAGTGGCAAGTGCTTCTACATGCTGAGCCGTCTCATTGACCTGATTCTCCAAATTAAAACAACGACAACAACAAACCAAAGAGCATGGTAGGGTATGGCGGCACACACCCTTAGTCCCAGCACTTGAGGGAAGACGTAGGTGGCTATATCTGTGTATTTGAAGCCAGCCTGGTCTACACAGTGAGAACCTGTCTTAAAACAAAAAACTAGAAACATAAAAACATTAACTTTATAAGGATATGCTATCATTTAATCACCCATTTCCCCCTTTGCGAACATTTAGGTAGTTTCCAATCTTTTCCTATTACAGATAATGCTATAATTTGTCTAATCTGTGTTCTGCATATTGTTGAACACAGTATGTGTTGGCATTTGTTAGATAAAGGTTCCTAGAAGTAGAATTATCGCTGTGTAAGCAGATTAATCTGTTTTGACTTTAGTGAATATTGGCAAGGTGCTCCATATAGCGACTGTACCTAGTTTAGCTTCCTGTTAGCAGATTACGAAGTGTCCAGTTCTTCACATGGTAAGATCACAGCGTGTTATAACAGGTATGTGCAGGGGTACTTTCTGTGTTGGAGGGAACCCAAGATCTCACACATCAGATTGGCTTTTTATCACTGTAAGTCAACCCCAGCCTTGTTGTTTGTTTTCATCCTCGCCAGTCAGGTGGGTTAAAACTGAAAGGCAGTTGGGCCTGTAATCCCAGGAGATCAGGAGTTAAAGTTCATCTTCTGGGCAAAGGATGTTCTAGTCCAGCCTCGGCTACAAGAAATCCTGTCTTAAAATATTATCAACACAAAACAACAATAACGAAACAACACAGAAAAGCAATCTTTAATATTACTGTGAGTGAAGTTGAAGAATTTATTATCTTTTTAGTTGTGGTAAGTGCTGTGTCTCTGTGTAACAGCCCTGGCTGGTGTGGAACTCCCTCGTATAACAGGCTGGCTTTGAACTCACAGAGATCCGCCTGCCTCTGCCTCCCAAGTGCTGGGATTAAAGGCATCTACTACCACACACACCAATAAATGTTGTTTGTTTATGTTGCTTGTTGTTTTTTCAGTTGGTCTTTCTCTTCAACTTTTCCCCATTTTTTAAAAAATTTCTTTTTGTTGCCTGAGCAGTAGTGCTTGCTGCATGCCTTTAATCCCAGCACTCAGAAGGCAGAGGCAGCAAATCTATGAGTTTGAGCACAGCTGGTCTACAGAACCAGTTCCAGGACAGCCAGGGCTACACAGAGAAACCCTGTCTTGAAAAACCAACCAAACAAAAAAGTATTTATTTTTATTATTTTATAAATATCTTGTATGTCTATGTGCATGTTTGTTGTTTGTGTTCATGTGTGTTGTGAGTGTGTTTGTGTGTATCTGTCTGTGTTTGGGTATGTGCATGAGTGTAGGTGCCCTAGGAGGGTAGAGATTTCAGATCCCCCTGGAGCTAGAGTTTAGCACCTTATGAGTGCTAAATATTGAACTACATCCCCTGCAAAAGCAATAGGTGCTCACAACTGTTGAACCATCTCTCCAGCCCCATTTGGCTTCCTTTCTCGCTCTTTCTCTCTTTCCCTCTTTCCC